GCCAAAAAAGGAAGGAACTTGCACATGAAGCTGCATCACACCAACATTCCGTGGAAAGGCAGGGGGGCACAAACATGCATTGAGATGCTCGAATTCATCCCCCAGGAAAACCTGCAACACCGTCTGAGCCTCCCTCCACTCAAGCGCGCGGGACTGACAGAACGTGTGCCAAGCCTCCGAGAAGAGTGGGCAGTCTGCCAACCAGGACAACTTCGAAACTTCATAATGAACCCAGTACGGACACGAAGATCCATACACGAAGGAATGTGGATCCATCATGAAAGCATAATCCAGGTTGCGCAGAAGGTACGCCGCAAGGGCTTCCCACACCACATGTGACAGGACGTGGAAAGCCGAAAACCTCCAGAGGGACGGAATCGAGGAATTCACGGAATCATGGAACTGAACCCGGGGAGGAATAGACGTCAAATCCATTTCGTACAAGAAGGGAGCAAAAAAGAACCCCTCTCCTTGTAACACCAAGTCCCGCTCCAAGGGTATAAACCCAGGCAGGGTCCAACGGGACCCAAGGCCCCCAAGTCAACCCCCTCCACTGCCCGGGGAACCTAACCCCAAGGACCCGGGACCGAGCCGGCCTACAAACCTCCCAGCGTCTAAAGGTGGGAGCCGCCGAAAAAGCAGGAATGAAAGGGGTCTACAGGTCAGACCCAGAAGCTCCGGTTGGAGGACCAGGCTCAAATGCCTCCGCCGCAACCCCGGAAAGGGACTCCCTCGAGACCGCCCGAGTCTCAACACCAACTAGACCCTACTTCGACTCCGAAACCCTCAGACGTTTCAGAACCAGAAGCAAAGGGGAAGGAACTGAATGCACAGCAGAAGGGGAAGGACTGGGAGGGGCTGACAGAACCAAAGTTGAAGCGACTCCTACCCCCAGGTTTGGGTCCCTAAAACCAAACGGGGCAGTCTCGGGGCATCCGGGGATGCAACCAACCTAGAGTGTTGCAGCAACCTGAACCAGGCATGCAACGCAGCATCTGCTTGCACCCTCATATCACGATCAGTAGCTTGGGTGAACTGGAGCATGTACAAGTAACAAACTTCGCACGACTCCAAGTCAAAAGAATCACCGACACACAAGGCAGAATGGCGGAGGCACAACCAGTCAGTGTCACCCTGAGACAAAGGGACAGAGCAACCTTCAAACTCGCACAAAGTGAGAGGGGACTCAAGGGTCACATCCAGCAGACCATAGAGCCCTCATGGGGTTTTCCAGGGCCCTTAGCCTTGGTAACATGCTAAGGGAAGCTGAGGCAATGTACTGCGAACCGGTGCCCAAGTCTACCAAACAAACTTCTAAAAGCTGAACCCCGGGACGTGTCCACTCACAGGTCTAGCGGGGGATACCACCAAAACACACAAGTGTATATATATACATATACCCCAACAGCAGCTAGGGGAAATGAATGAAAGCAGACCCCTCCCCCACCAGGCAGGAACAAAAACAAAAGAAAAACCCTGCAAATAGACAACGTACCCAGGTGGAACAGAGCCGGCCACTATAATAGGTGATAACTAGCTGTGCAGTACCCCGCGCCCGTATCCAGTGACGAAAATTACCTCCTACCCAGAGACAAACAAGGGCAACAAAACCCAAGCTGACCCCAAGGGCAGCCAAGTACCGAGCAGTAAAAGACACAGTGGAGGTAGATCCCAAGGTGACTTAGGGAAGGAAAACCTAGGCGCATGCAGCCTGAGTATTGTGGAATATTACTCCTGGCTCACGCACAGAACTGAGACAAAAAGCAGGAGCCAGAGGCACAAGACTACTCCAGTATCGCATCAGCCAAATACTGATGGTTGGATCACTGGCACGTGGGTCTGGGGCTCTCCCTTCCCCATCCTGGGAAGAGGGAGGTTGCGCAGACAGCGGTGCAGCAATGTGATGACATCATGCTCATTTGCAAATTTTCGTTTGGGGAATTCTGTCCACTTGTTCGGCTTTCAGTAGCAATAGTTTCACCAGAATAGGGATTTGTTTTGTGGCGCCTACCTTTCTGGGTACCAGACCCGGTCGATGGCAGACATAGAATGCTCCAAACCACTATGGGGGTTTCTATAGCCCATTGCTCCTCGTGCCTCTCTGAGAGGGGCCAAGTTCTATCTTGTGGTCCCCGGTTGGCAACAACTCCATGCAAATTGACTGTTGCCAGAAAGCTATACATATCCATTCAGCCTGGATAGCCCTGGGGAGCCGACGGGGCTCCCCCCAGAAAACTAGCTAGAACCCGTTAATACCGAATGCTGCCACCAGGCGGCCCGGGGCTTGGTCCAGCATAAGATATCAGACCAGTTCAGGGGCTTACAAAACAACCTGTGCCTTCTATAAAGAACATTGCTTTTTGCTCGTATGCGTTACACAAGGCCAAAAATTTTTGTACTAGAAAATAGAAGCGGCTTGCAAAAATGACGTAGTGTCCTGTTTTCTGTTTTGGGTCCTCTGGTAGGTTAGGAGAGGACACTGTAAATTAATCAAAGCCTAACTATCCCATGAGACATATCATTGCTTTTGTGGGAGTCATTTCTTACAAGCCTTCTAAATGGCTCACCAAAATCATGTCCCCCATTGTTAGGAACTATTTCCTCCTTATAATTGATCAATTCTATTGAATTTGTTAACAAATTAAAGTTTCAATCAATCCTGATGTCATGTTAATCAGTTTTGCAGTTTTGTTCTTTATTTACTAAAGTTCTTCTTGATGATATTCTTGATTACCTTGCTCTTAAATTAATGAACCATGTATTACCTCTGCCTGCTGATATTACTGTCAATCTCATTAAGCTATGTATAAAAGAATGTAAATTTACTTGTAATAATGAGTATTATTTACAGACTTTTGGAATGGCAATGTGGAATCCAGTGTCTCCATTGCTTTCAAACTTTTTACATATAAATTTTCAAAATACTGAATATGCTTTAATACAAATCACAAAGCCATACAACGTGAACATTATTAATGGTTTGTATAATTTGTATTCATTTTTGATTGATCAATTAAAAAATATTTGAGTAAGATCATTAATACACAGTTATATTAATATCATCTCATTAATATCTCAATATTATCTCATTAGAATAGTTGCTTCATGGAACTCAGATGTATTGGTCAATGGGCCTTCTGCAGTTTCCTCTTATGTTTGTTCACAAACTTTCTTTTTTTTTTCCAAAAAATGCCAGTCTGCCAAAGCCAGTAAAATGCATAGCATTTTAGATAGGTCTTAATGCTAACGCAGAATGTGCAACAAATTTAAAATTATATGGTGAAATGGCAAATCTTAAATAAGAAAATAAATGTGATGATAGGTATACAAAGACAGAATTTGAATTCATATAATTACTATATCAATATAAATTTGCTATAAAAAGAATTAAACTGACATAGTTGTATTTCTAGATAATAAAATGCTGAGTTAGTAGCACAAAGTGGGATACTATGGTGATGAAATTAGGAATTTACTGTAATTTCCTACTTTGTAATAAAATAAATGTTGAAAATTTTTACTTCATTAAGAAGGGAGTTCCATACATAGGGCCTTTCTTATCTGCATGACACGTTTGCATAGATATACAGTAGCTCAATCTTGGAATATCAAAGAGAAATTTATTTCTGATTTCTGCTGTGACGTTCATGGGTCCTATTGCATCCATCTAAGGAGAGTTTAAATATAAAGTTAGAATTTAGGAATAAGGCTTTGTAAGTGTAAATAGTACAAGAGAATGTGTTGAGTTAATGTATGTTTAGCATGTTCAGGTATTTGAACAGAGGAGCTGTGTTGTCTGAAGATTTTATTTGTTAAGGTTCTGATAGCTGATTTTTGCTGGGTGATGATATGCTTAACATAGTTTATGATAGTTAAACTTCGTAGCATTACCTAACCGAACAAGCCTAGTAACTAACCTACTTTATTATTTATAGATATCTTAACCTGACAGTCTGAAAAATTCTCTATGTCTGCAGCCCAGCCTAAGGCTAGGCATATATGGTGATTTGCAATCCAAGAGCCTGTTTGTCTTTGTAGAAAACAAAAACTAATCTGATAACTCTAGCAGAAACCTGTCAAGTTCTCTTTTAAAGGCTTCTACCTTTGTTCTGCACATATTATGTATATTTACTGGCAGTAGGTTTAAGTTGTGGACTATTATCATGCACCACAAAAAAAAACATCATATCCTGAGCTAAGCCTCGCATATCCTTTGCCTACACAAGACATCCAAAAACGCCACAAGAACTTTAGTATGTTGTTGCAACTCTCTGATACCCCAACTGTCTCCAAATAATTTTGTGCAGTGTGTAATGCAAGACTGGGTTCGTCAGATTAAGAAAAGTTACCCAAAGCTTCCTAGTATCATGTAAATAATGAAGAAATATGATATATTTACTCACTATAATGATGGTGCTGGATGTAGACCAGGAAAAAAATTATTTTTACTTTGAAATATAATTTTATAACGAAATTAGTCGAAACTAGGTGGTAGCTAACCCCCATAGGAAATTGACCATCCAAGCGACAATGTTGTGGCTTTGGGTAATTAGATGGACCCAGTTTCGTTATAAAAGTATATTATTTTCAAGTAAAAATGTTTTTTCATGTTCTACATTCAGCACCAGTATTATGGTGATTAAATATAACATAGTTATTTATTACTTACATAATGCTAGGAAGCTTAGAACTAGATTTGGGTAGCTTTAGGTAGCTTTGAGTAGCTTTGGATAATTAGACGGGCCGTGCGTTAAAAATGACATTAAAAATATTACATTTTGACATTAAACATTAATGTCAAAATTAATGTTTGACATGAAATTTGACATTACAAAATTAAAAATTACATTTTAATTGGGGGTGACATTAAAAATAACGTTAATAAATTATTTTAAGTTATATCTTTTAATATATGCCGATGTACATGTGTCTTGTCACCAAATCAATAAAGGTATTTTCATCACAATTTAAATTTATTTAGTTGAAGCTTCTCTTTTTACCTATAGTAATTGCGATGATTCTTCCCCCAACTCTGTTCCTAGCTTCGAGTATAACGAAATCATTTATATTATTTTTCAACAAGTGGTTAGCTGCAGATAATCCTGCCATGCCAGCACCAATAATAACGATCTTGCAAGTGTGTGCATCACTGGGGTTATTGCAGTCACCTCCGCCTGTGTCGTCTGCCTTCACGTCCGACATGTTTACATTTCTCCGATGAGTCAGTGTTGCCACCATCCTCGCCGCCCGTTGCTACCTTCAGCGCTCCGCTACAAGTGCTAACATATTGATAATGATAATGTTGATCAGTGCTCGATATGTTTCTTTTTTTCATACCTTCAGCGTCGTCTAGGCCCTGGCTTCCTTCAGCGTCGTTAACGTCTTGACTACTTTCATCAACGCCTTGATTACTTGCAGCGTCGTCGCTGTGCTGCTACCTTCAGCGACGTCCTATCCTCGCTACTTTCATCAGCGTCGACGGCTTAATTGGCTATCTTCAACGTCATTGCTGTCCTTGCTACATTCGGCTTCGTGGACACTCTTGCTACCTTCAGCATTGTCGTTGTTCTCGCTACCTTCAGCGTCGCCGACGCCCCAGCTACCTTTAGCAATGTCGTTGTTCTCGCTATCTTTAGCGCCAACGACGCCCGCGCTACCTTCAGCATTGCCAATAATTTAAACAATCAATCTTACACACTAAATAACAGACAATAAATAATATTGTCAAAAGTGAATTAATAAAAGTCCACTCGTGGATGTCAACTAACAAACTTACACTAAACATAAAAAAAAACTTCTACATTTCATTTGGTAGTAAATCATCAAATCAGTTTAAACTTCATTTATTTATTAATTTATTTATTTATTTATCTATTTATTTATTTATCTATTTATTTATTTAATTATTTATTTATATACAAGAAGGTACATTGGGTTTATGAGAGTATAGAGCATTGAAGTTTTTTAATAAATCTCTAATTTAACTCAAATCAAATCAAATCATATAACAAATTATAAATATATATAACATATTATAAAATATATATAACAAATATAAATTTAAATAACAAACCGACTCTCCTGTCTAATAACGATGGTCAGCTTTCAGCCTCTGATTCTGCTATTGAGTTCAATAGGTTCTTCTCTTCCATTGGTTCATCCCTTGCAAATGATATTCCATCTTCCAGTACTGACATTAAGGACTATCTTACAGGTAACTATCCACAGTCTCTGTACCTAAAGCCTATTAACTCCACTGACGTCAATGAGATAATCCTTTCCCTTAAAACCAAGTCTGGTGCCCTTGAGGAGATACCAACTTTAATTTACAAAAAAGCCTCCAGATCTTTAGCCCCTGCTATTGCTTTGCTCTTCAACAAGTCACTTGAACTCCAAACCTTTCCAGATATTCTAAAAAAAGCGAGAGTAACGCCTGTCCACAAATGTGGTGACCCCACAGATGTTAACAACTACAGACCTATATCAATCCTGCCAAACTTGTCAAAAATTTTTGAAAAACTTATATACAAGCAGCTTTACTCATATCTAGCCAAACTCAATATACTTAGCCCTTGCCAATATGGCTTCAGACCCAAAAAAAGCACTAACGATGCACTTATTAGTATGCTTAACTCGATTCATACAGCTCTTGATAAAAAGGAGCTCCCTGTTGGGTTATTTGTGGACCTGCGTAAAGCTTTTGATACTGTCAACCACCAAAACCTTCTTAAATTACATCATTATGGAGTCAGAGGACACTCCCTACAATACCTCGAGTCCTACCTTACTGATAGGCTCCAATATGTTTCTGTGAATAATACAATTTCTCCCACCCTACCCATCAACATTGGTGTTCCTCAGGGCAGCATACTTGGCCCTCTCCTCTTTCTCATCTACATTAATGACCTTCCAAATGCCTCCCAACACCTCAAACCAATTCTATTTGCTGACGACACAACCTTCATTTACTCCAGTCCTGACCCTCTTGCTCTAAATGCCACAGTAAATACTGAGCTAAATAAAGTCCATCTTTGGCTAACTGCCAACAAACTCACCCTTAACATTGACAAAACCTTCTATATTCTGTTTGGCAATAAATCCTCTAGTCTTATAAATCTCAAAATAAACAATACCCAAATTTGTAACAAATTAGATGGCAAATTCCTTGGCATTCTCATTGACCACAAGCTGAATTTCCAGGGACACATTCTAAATATATCAAAAAAAGTTTCAAAAACTGTGGGCATTCTTTCTAAGATCAGATATTATGTACCACGCCCTGCTCTGGTGACTCTCTATTACTCCCTTATCTATCCTTATCTCAACTATGGTATTTGTGCTTGGGGTTCTACTACCCAAAATCACTTACGTCCTCTAATTACCCAACACAAAGCCGCTATTAGAACAATATCCAACTCTGGCCCCAGACATCACTCGGTACCCCTACTCAAATCTCTTAATATGTTAGATATTAAGTCACTGCACATTCTCCAATGTGTATTATACATATATAAAACGCTAAACTATAATGCCAATCCTGATCTTAAAAGCTTCATAGAAGGTTGTAACAGAACCCATGAGCACCACACCAGAAATAAATACAGTTTTGATATTCCTAGAGTACGTCTTAATCAAACTAGAAATGCTCTGCAAATCAAGGGGCCCAGAATGTGGAATGACCTTCCCAACCATGTTAAAGACTGTACCTCTCTCAACCAGTTTAAGATAAAAACTAAACACTACCTAATAAATTCCCTGTAATCTACCTCACTCCTCTATTGTCAACCCATGTCTGTTATTTTCTTTTTTTTTTCTTTTTTTTTAATAAACACTGTTTGTCAACCTATTGTATTTGTGCTGCTTTTTCAGTCATGTTCCCCCTTTTCTTTTATCTTTATTTGTATTTGTTCTCAACATCTTTTATTCTTTATGCTCAATTAGTATTAAGTTCTAGATATTAATGTTTTTCTTGCCCGAAACGCATTGCGTAATAGTGGCTTTAGGCATTGTATGTACTAGCTCTATCTATATATCAATCCATTAATGTAACATCACTTGTATGTATATACCTTACCTGAATAAACATCTGAATCTGAATCTGAATCTGAATATCAAATCAAATGTTTATTCAGGTAAAAGAACATACATGCAGTCTCCGTGGTGTAGTGGTAAGACACTCGCCTGGCGTTCCGCGAGCGCTATGTCATTGGTTCGTATCCTGGCCGGGGAGGATTTACTGGGCGCAATTCCTTAACTGTAGCCTCTGTTTAACGCAACAGTAAAATGTGTACTTGGATGAAAAAACTATTCTTCGCGGCAGGGGATCGTATTCCAGGGACCATAGGATTAAGGACCTGCCCAAAACGCGACGCGTACTAGTGGCTGTACAAGAATGTAACAACTCTTGTATATATATCTAAAAAAAAAACAAAAAAAAAACATAGAGGATTAGTTACAAACATAATGTTGGATTTATAGATAGAGCTAGTACATACAATTCACAAAAAGCCTCCAGATTTTTAGCTCCTGCCATTGCATTGCTCAATAACAAGTCACTTGAACGCCGCACCTTTCCAGATATTTTAAAAATAAAAACAAATAAAAAACGAGAGTACCCCAGTCCATAAATGTGGTGATCTCACTGATGTTAATAACTTCAGACCTATATCATTTCTGCCAAATGTCAAAAATATTTGAAAAACTAATCTACAAGCAGCTTTACTCTTATCTAAACAAACACAATATACTAAGCTCTTGTCAATATGGCTTCAGACCCAAAAAAAAACCCACTAACGATGCACTTATTAGTATGATTAACTTGATACATTCAGCTCTTGATAAAAATGAGTTCCCTATCGGGTTATTTGTTGACCTACGTAAAGCTTTTGACACTGTCAACCACCAAAACCTACATCATTATAGAATCAGAGGTCACTCCCTCCAATATCTTTAGTCTTACCTTACTGACGGGCTCCAGTATGTTTCTGTGAATAATTCCATTTCTCCCAACCTACCTATCAACATTGGTGTTCCTCAGGGCAGCATACTTGGCCCTCTCCTCTTTCTCATATATATTAATGACCTTCCACATGTCTCTCAACACCTCAAACCAATTCTATTTGCTGATGACACAACCTTCATTTTCTTCAATCCTGACCCTCTTGCTCTTAATGTCACAGTGAACACTGAACTAAATAAAGTCCATCTTTGGCTAACTGCCAACAAACTCACCCTTAACATTGACAAAACTTTCTATATTTTATTAAGATTAATTAATCCTCAGATCAAATTAATCTAAGAATAAACATCCAAATTAGTAATAGAGTAGATGGCAAATTCCTTGGTGTTCTCATCGATAACAAGCTGAATTTCCAGGGACACATTCTAAATATATCAAAAAAAGTTTCTAAAACTGTTGGCATTCTTTCTAAGATCAGATATTATGTACGTTGCCCTGCCCTGGTGACGCTCTATTACTCTCTCATCTATCCTTACCTCAATTATGGTATTTGTGCTTGGGTTCTACTGCACAAAAATCATTTACGTCCTCTAATTACTCAACACAAAGCTGCTATTAGAATAATACCTAATTCTGGTCGTAGACAGCACTCTGTATCCTTACTCAAATCTCTGAATATGTTAGATATTAAGTCACTGCACATCCTCTCATGTGTACTCTATATATTTAAAACTCAGAACTGCAATGTCAATCCTGACCTTAAAAGTTTTCTAGAAGGTTGTAACAGAACCCATGAGCACCACACCGGAAACAAACACCTATTTAATATTCCAAGAGTGCAACTTAACCAAACTAGAAATGCTCTACAACTCAAGGGACCCAGAATGTGGAATGACCTCCCCTAATCATGTCAAAGGCTGTACTTTGTACTTCTCTCAACCAGTTTAAGAGTAGAACTAAGTACTACCTAATTAACTCCATGTAACATACCTTACCCCATAAATGTCAACCCTTGTCTTGCTATTCTAAACAATGCTGTTTGTTGACCAACTTGTACAATTGCTGATTTTTGCCATGTTCCCCCATTTTTTCTTTTTTTTTATTCCTTTTTTTCCAACACAATTTATACTTTACTCCCAATTACTGTACTATTAAGTTTTAGTCAAAGTGTTTTTCCTCCACACCTTGCTCGAAACGTTATGCGTATTAGTGGCTTTAATTATTGTATGTACTAGCATCTATCTGTAAATCCGACAGTATGTTTGTAACTCTGCATCTATGTATATACTTTTCCCTAAATAAAATATTATTATTAGTCTTACATTCTTGTAAAAAACCAAACGCTGTGTGTGCCACAAGCACACACAGCGTTTCGGGCAGATCCTTAATCTTGTAACGTACGGTTATGTTACATTGTTGGGTAGATTATATGTGGGCCTGCCTCTGATGTAGAGTGGCCACTTCCTGGTTCTGGGATAATGTCACCTACTGTGGGGGGACCACCCATAGCTGGACACCACAGTCAACTGAAGTTGGGGATAAGGAACTGGAACAAAATGAGACATATCGCAACCTCAGCCTCCCTATCACGTTGGCTTTGGGTCGCTCCACTGTTCAAGCAGCGGCTGTCCTTCATGACCGGTTGCAGGAATACCAGCAGCAGTCACTGCAGGAGACGGAGCGGCTGCAAGAGCAGCTCCAACACGAGAAAAAATCCACGAGCGACATTGCAATGATGCTCACGTGTGTGAGGGAACTTGTATGCAATGACTGCCAAACCTCCCCTTCCACCCCTGGACCTTCCAAACATGTGTTCGCTTGCCAATCAGGGAAAACGTCTAGTGATCTTGAAACCTTGTGTAGTGGAGTCCTTCCATGCAGGTTAACTGCCAAAGTTGTGCCTATGTTCAAAACGACTCTATAGCTGGAAATGACAAAGTGTACTAAACGATTGGAGGTACATAATGAAACAAAATACAACATAGTGCCACTGCTCTCTCCACCTCATTAGAGGGGGCCAGGTTCTGACTTGTGGCCTAAAAGAAATCTGCGACTGATGGTACCTAGTAGTTTGACACTAGAACCTCAATGTAACTTCAGGAAGCCACTGGGGTTCACCCAGAAATTGGTATTTCATTACGTTCAATACTAGTATTTTTATGCTGCTTAACTTGGAGTTTAAAAAATTATGGGATAATTTATTTCTAGTTATTATAATAAACACGTATTGTAACAACCACTTTATTCCTTATTAAATTTATATAAAATACTTAAGCATGAATGTAGTACTTAACAGATCGACATATTTATATGATACAGTATTGTAAAATTCCAATTAAAAAACATTCATTGTTTGCAAAGTCTGTACAGTATATGCTATACCAGTGATATATACATCAAAAAGTACTTATCTCATTAATGACTACAGAGCCAATATAATATAAATATATGTACACATGTCTTTCAATAATTCCCCAGCAAATAGTGAAGTGAAAGACTAGGTGGTGGCAGCAATGACTAGCAAGCTGCAAATAACACAAGACATACTGTATATTGAATCCTATAAATAATGTCAGTTTGATAACAATTACACATTATTACATTTGAAATGGTTCACCTGAATGATCATAAAAAAATCAATACATTTCTTTATCTTTTCACTATATATATATATATAATTAATTTATAGAAAACAAATCTGGACATGACCAGCATGTCAAGTTGTTCTGAAATGACTGCAAATACTGGTGTTCAGTTGTCACTAATCAATTGGTAGACAGATGTAAAATTCCAAGGTGAATTCCCACACTCCCATATCCCATGCTTGACTAAAGTGACCCTTTCCCTTTTCAGATAAATACAACAAGTAACAGAACTCAAACATGCAATTTTTCCACTACTCAAATACTGATTCCTGTACTGTATAATTTTCCAGCATAATAATATACTATCTCTTATGCAGCAAATATTAGTTGGGAAAAAATTTGGACTGGCACTGTGGTTTTCATAAATTTTGAATTTATTACAAAGTATATGATATTTATATTTAATTAACCATTGTTGCATTAAATATATGTGAGAAACCATAACAATAATAATTAAGTTTTTTTTTTTTACTAAAAAGAAAGCAGCATGATCTTCCTAATACAGTAGCATCAGTTTTCAAAACCCAGCTGTTATACTTCATTTTATATTTTAGTTATTATTGTGTACCAGATATGATGATCATTCTGCACTTTGTTATAGAATTTATCATCCACTAATTTCCTTCATTTTTAACCCTTAAAATGTGATCATCTTCATGAGTTGATCTCTGGAGTAATGAGGTTATTATGCTGAATTTAGTTATTACTGCCCTACTTTTATATAAGTGATGTAAATGTGGATAAGTTATGGCTATATGGATATAATGGCATTAACAAAGACTCATGACAAAATGCTGCCATCATTTTTAACTGCTTACTATATGATAGTTATCATGTATTAGTAGCGTGTGGTTACTATATTCAAAACACAATTTATTTCCTGCCAGTGTTTGAATTTATGTAGATAAACGGTTATTCCACAAACATTGTGTAAGCTTAAATGAAATGGCAAACATAAAAACTATCAAACTTGAGCATCAGACACTACATGAGATTCAGCAAACTGAATATCCACATGCAGACGATGAGTCACAATAACGTGGCTGAAGATATGACGACGATACAACACATCAGAAGATAGAGAAATGACGACGTTTCACACACTACTTGATAATGGTCCAGGACGGACCAAAATGTTGTCGTTTCTCCATCTTTTGATGTGCGGTTTGGTCATCATGAATATCCACATATCCATACTTTCTGTATGCAAATATAACCCTATACAAGATATTTTTTTTTGTGCATGACCGGGCAGTACCTTTAATGATAACCACATGTTGAGAGTTAATCCAAGTGTCATTTATAAATGTAAAATATTTAGATTGCATAAGATACTTAATCTGTCCTTATGAAGGGCAACGCAAAAATATACTGTAGGATATATTCTGAACTGCATTAAATACGAATGTGATAGACGAGATGTTATCACTTGGCCACAAAAGAGAAATATCCATCAGAAGAGGAATAATAGTTATAAAGGGTTCTTGCAACAAACACTGTAGCAGTAAATACTACAATCTTTAACAAATTTTCTCTCTGACCATGAACCAATGGAATATAATCAGCAAAAGTGGCCATAAACTTCCAACATGACAACTTTTTCGCATCAAACTTCTTCCGCCTCTCAAGTAATCGCTGACTTTCAACAAGCTCCTCTTCTGCCCTGTGGAAATAAAAACTTTACATTTAACAAATGTTAATTCTCGTGCTATGTCGTTCGTTTTGGTATCATTATGTTCGCAATTAAATTCCCTGCAGGTGTATATGCATATAATGTCCAAAAGCCTCATGTGACTCCCCGCAGCAAAGCCCAAAGTTACCCGTGAACGAGCACCAATTTGCACACCGCAGCCTAATGTGTATACTCGTTCAGTTTGATAACATCAATTTTTGTGTTACGTCTTTCATTTTGGTATCAAATTGTTCGCAAAATAAATGTGCGTATTTTAAAACTAGTCCCATACTAATAGCACACTAAATAGAATTTGAACAAATATTTTAATTTTGGACGCTCATCATCACAAAATTATTTATATCTTTCCAGTGTTCTGACAAATTTTCGTGTTACATCTTTCATTTCGGTATCAAATTGTTCACAATGTAAAGACGCACATTTTAAAACTAGTCTCATAATAATAGCACAATAAATAGAATTTTAAAATATTAACATTTTGACCAAAAACGTATTTATAATCTTTCAAGTGTTCTGACATCAAAGTTTCGTGTTACATCTTTCATTTTGGTATCAAATTGTGTGCAATTTAAAGGTACTCATTTTGAAACTATCCCCCAAGTTGATTGGATAAAAAATGAATTTTATAAAAATATTTTATTGTGGGACTCGTGAGCGAGTCCAATGCTCGGACTCGAGAGAAAAATTGGTAATGCGCTCAAGCACCAAGAGAGTGCGAAAGTGTTAATTAATAAAATTACCTCCCAATTGGTTTTATCAAATTCACCTTGCAGATCAACAACTGTTCTACAATTGTCAACCACATTAGATCAACACTTTATGCGACAGTTTGCAGTACTTTTGCCCTTGATAAAACCAGAGATTATTGGACATGTTATCCCCCTACAAGCTATAATAATCTATTTAACAAGATCCTTTCCATCATTTTACAAAAGCAGGATGTTAAGGATAAAGGCCTGTAACCTCCATTTGACTTGGGTATAGGAATGATGACAGCCTCCTTCCATTTTCTTGGTAATTTTCCCTCACTATAACTCATGTTAAACACATCAATAAAATGACTATGTTTAAATGTTTAATACCTGCTAAACAATTAAGAATGTCATACGTTACTCTATCCTTTCCCAGAGCAGTAGAGCTGCTACTTTTAATAGCATCAACTAGCTCATCGTAAGCTATCTCGGTGCATGTTACTAACCCAGTATTTAAATTGCACAAACTTGCTCCATTTATAATATTTTCCCCATGAATCAATGGTGTTCCTTGTGTCTTCAGATAAGGACTCCATACTAGCAGCACCAGCCCATTTGTTCACTAACTCATTCGCAACCTTTCCTGGATCTGGGTGAGCTATGAATTTAGTCTGACAACCCTTGATTTTGTTTACTTCTCTCCAATGTCTTTAAAGTTGGTTTTAGGCTCCCCCAAAAACCCAGGCATTGAATGTGATAAAACGCCTCTCTGGTAGAGCCCCGATGACTCCCTGTCTCTGTCATTCCTTTTCATGTATTGAATAGGAGTGAGCCCCATATGATTCAGATAATTGGGTACAGAGTAATACCAATATCAAAAGCAGTTAAAATTAAATTTTAGGTTTTAAAAACCACATGCAACAAAAGCATGGGAACAAAAAGAGAAATATCATAATGAAGGAAAGGGTTAAGACTGTACAGTGACCATATACTGTATATCAAAATATTGCCCAATTACAGGAAATAGACATATAAATTAAGATCTCAAACTTACTTCCTCTTGAGATACTCTTCCACCTCTTCCTGCAGTGTGTCTGGGGGATATTCCTCATACAACTTTCTAGCCTCAACCAATATCTTCTCAAAAGGAAGGGAATCTGGTACCTGTTCCAATAAAATAAAAATTCTTTAATCTTTCTGACTAATCATATTTTATCATTTAATGGAGTGAAACACATGAAAGAAGTGCTTAGAAATGCCAGGAAATTGCAGTGATGAGGATGTCAATCTTCGGTCAATAAGAGAAGACCTTTCAAAAGAAGACAGAGAAAAGCTGAAAATGATCCTTGATGAAGCAAAACATCTAAATGGGAATAGAAATGAAGAAAAAATTATTTTTTCTACTAAGTGTCATAGACTAGAAAGCTAGTGAAATGGTACAAAAAACAAAGCACCAAAATCATTAGAGGAAGGGGGAGTAAAGGACAAAGGGAAAGGGAACATGTTCCTGAAAATTGTATATACCATCATAGATGGAGTGAGATAAAAAAACCAGCGTTGAATGTAATGAAACGCCATTTTCTGGGTGAGCCCCGGAGGCTCCCTGGAGCTTATCGGGCTAATGTGTGTTATGTTAGACCGGGACATTAGCTAAGGAGTTCAGACCTACCAGGGACCAGCGCCAGAACCTGGCCCCTTCAGAGAGGTTTCAGGGAGCAATGGCCCTGGAAAACCCCATATGGTTGGGGGTTTTCCTTATCTGCCATCGACCGGGGTTAGGCACCCAGAAAGGTAGGCGTAACAAAACAAACCCCACATGGTAAGAAACTACAACAAAAACCGAACAGAGAGGTAGAAAACTCCCTACAATCCCAAGGAAACAAGCAAACAAGCAAACATCACACTTTACTGCCGCGCCGATCGTCCGCGCAGCCCTCCCCACCCCGGGAGGGGGAGGGGGGAGCCCCGGACCTACCGCGCCGGCTGCCAAGCTCCAGTTCGGAAGCTAAGCTTCAACCAACGCGAAAAAACCGCCGACCGGTGGGAGGGAGGGTTTCCAGGGAGCCTCCGGGGCTCACCCAGAAAATGGCGTTTCATTACATTCAACGCTGGTTTTCTGTGGGGAGCCCCTACGGCTCCCTGGAGCTTCATACCCAAAGAGAAGGAAAAGAAAGGGCTAACCCGGGAGGCGGCCGCCACAAACTCTGCAACGCAAAGCCAAGACAACCGGTCGCAAACCTGCGACCCAAGGCAACAAGAACGCCCAAGAACAGACGCACATATGGATGGGCGGCCAAAAACCCGTGCGACCCACAATTCCCTGCGCCCGAAATGAGCCCGAGACGTCACCAACACAGCAGCAATTGCTGCAAACGTCTGAACAGCACGGGCGCAAAGACAGACCGCAGGAAGAAGGAAAACACTGCGGACGACCCGGGAGACCCGAGCCCTGAAAACAGGGAACGAAGGAACCGGATCAACCACAGCGCATCCCCAGGCACGGTACGCCGGCAACAGCAAAAAGCACAACTGGACAACACAGGACGCACCCCCCGGCCAAACCAAACAAGTACCAATACCCCAAGAACCCCTCCGGAAAGCAGCCGTCTCGACCATCGCCAGGACAGAGAAAGGCTGCACACCAATAAAGCTACCACCAGTACCAAAGAGGAGGAAACTGAAACCGAAGGGGCTACCACAAACTGAGGGGAAGAGAAGAAGGCACCCTGAACAAGGACCAGGATGGCTCAGGCGACTCATGAGCAGGCCGGAGGGGAAACAAAACGCGAGAAGACGTAATAAACGTCATACAGTCTCCAAGACGAAGCTCGCAGGTGGGACACCGTCAACAAAGCCACCTGAACACCATAGAGATGGCGATACCTGCGTCAAAATACCAGACGCGAAGAGCCAAAGAGAAGGCCGAACCAGTCACGGACAGGACCGATTCGGCCTGCTGAAAGAGGCGAAGCCTCAGGAAAAACGCCCCGGGTACGGACACCTATCAAGCAGCGTCTGAAAAGAAGGCCGGGCCGGCCACAGTGGAACCATAAGGACTGTTCTCGTGGGAATGGGCTGCAACTGAGCCAGAACCCGAAGCAACAGCTGGACCGGGAGAAGAGGTACAGGTACCCCCCACCTCGATCAGGCCTGCCGAAAGCCTCCACCGTGAAGTCCTCGCAGGTGGGAAGGGCGCCACAAAACGGGCGACGCCTAGACCACGCCGACCCGAAGACGTCCATGGCCAGGAGTCCATAAGCCCAACAGAGCCAACAAAACGAATCGGCGACGACTGGCCAACCCACGAAGAGGAATGAACCGAGACAGCTGTCCACCAGGACGCAGGACACACCCCGGACACGAACCACACGGTTAACCAAACCCCCTGTGGTTCCGGCAAGAACCACCAGAGAACAGTCCAAACAGAGCTGAATGGTAGAGTACCTAGTGACCCAAACCCTCCGAAGCGCAAACCAGACAGCCATGAACACCTGAACCGGGCTGTGAGCCCGACGGACAGACAGACTCCATCAACCTCGGCCGACCTGGTGAGCACTGGTCACAAAGCCCCAGCCGAGAGACGACCCGTCCGTGAACACATCGAGCGAAGGCTCGGGGAGCCGCCAAGGCACGGAACCCCGAAAACCCCAAAGAGGAAGCTGGTGACGCAGCACCAACACCAGATCCCCAGAGGAACCCAAGGAATGCAAGAGGCGGAAGTGGAGTCTCCGTAGGAACCAACCGACGCCGGAGCCAAACCCGACTCCGCGGGCAGACAAGCACGCCGAAGTGCAAACTCCCGCACAACCGCCCAAGCAACCGCTGAGCAACCCGGGACCCCCTCCTGAACAGCCAAAGGCGGGACCACAGCCACAGTAACACTTCTGGAGGGAAGACAATGAGGGGCCCAAGAGCCTGAAACAAGGCCCAGGTCCGAACCCGGGACGGAAACAGAAGGTAAAACCTCCAGATCACCAGGAAACCAAACCCAGCGATCTGGAAAGAACCATCCCCTGGCGAGCAGACAAGCGGACTGACTGGGAGCCCACTCCAGCCAGTCGTCGAGGTAGGCCAGACACCGAATCTCAGACGCAGACAGGGCACTAAGATCCGGTAAAGATGCAAAGAGTATACAAAGTGCCCTTCACAAAATAGGGAATGCAATAAAAACAGCAAACCTGAAGCCCCACCACCAAAGCATTGTATGACAATCATACGAAGACATATTATGACATATGACAATCATTATATGACAATATGACAATTATAATCAAAGCATTATATGACAAAGAGTGCTGGGAAGACGGGACACCACGAGAGTAGCTCTCATCCTGTAACTACACTTAGGTAAGTACACATAGGTAATTACCAACCGTGCTAGCCCCAGAAAAACTGGAGAGGAACGTGCCAAGAAGTGACCTGGAGGTCCAGGTCCACCATCCATGCACCCGGCCCTAACAGAATCCGAACAGGAGACAACAGTCCTCCGAGCAGGGCAGAGGATCCAGGGCGCAGACGGAAGTAGTCCAGAAGAACTGCAGACTGGAAAAGCTCATGACTGCAAAGAGCAGACGGGAAGCCCAGAAGGATGGGGCGGATCGACCACGCCCCACGCACCCACGAAGAGGAAATGACGAAGCGCAGGGAAGAAGCCCACCCCGCCAGCTCTGAACCCCCCCCAAGGGGGAGAAGCCGTCCTCCGACGCCAGCAGAGGCCGGAAGACAACCCAAAGCGCCCACCAACAGCGCGACCAAGCGAGAGGCAACAGAGCAAGCTGCTCCCCCAGCGCCCAGTCAACAGAGAAGGGAACAGAACCCCTTCAGAAAGAAAAAGTACACTACCGAAGTCATGAGGAGAGACTACGGGAATGAAACCACACTTCGCTGGAAGAGGAAGTGAGGGGAGACCTGATCACCACATACAAGATACCCAAGGGAATCGACAGGGTTGAGAAGGACAGGCTATGTAACACAAGGGGCACACGCACTAGGGGACACAGGTGGAAACTGAGTACCCAAAAGAGCCACAGATAGAATTAGTTTTTTTTTTTTTTTTTTTTTTTTTTTTGAGTGTCAGAATGGGAACGGGAAAGCACTAAGAAGTAATGTGGCGACTCCTCACACAAGGAACGAGGCTGACCCCCATACAATGTCACATGTAGACATGACAGAGCCCAAGAGGCACAGGAACCGATACACCTGTTGACGGACGGTTGAGAGGCAGGACCAAGGAGCCAGAGCTCAACCCCCACAAGCACAACTAGGTGAGGACATATATTGTAAAAGCACAAGCCGTCGACTAGTGGCAAAGAGCACTACGCCGGCCAAGCAAAGAAGGCACAAAACTGCATCAAAAGGCCCACCTCGACAGCAAAACCACAAAGTCCCAGCACAACCACAACATGTGCCAAGACCCAAAAAGCTCAGTCTGCAAGCCAGGAAGACCCCGGAACCCCAAAAGGCAGAACCGGGTCACACGAGGAAACAAAGTCCCCTGAACCCACAAAAGGGGGCCCAAGAGGAAGAAACCTCCAGAACGAAACCAAGGAACCCAAAGGAACCCAGAATCGAACCAGGGGGAGCCCAAACCACCACATTTGCCGGCGGAGAACACCACTAAAAGGCAAAGCACAGACCCCAGCAGAACGCCCTGGGAAAACGGTCCCAACAGACCGAAAACCGAGGGGCAAGGTGTGGGAGCAAGCATACCAGCCAGGGGCACTGAGCCTAAACCCAGAGGCTCAGACCCAAAATCAACACCCAAACGTTCCCAGAGGAACAGGCAACGGCAAGAAAACACCAGAAAAACAAAGAAACGACAACAGGAGAACAAAAACCCTGCAAATTTTTTGAAAACTCACCAGAGACGCTCGCTCGCACACCCAGACGCATGTAAACAAACCGCAACGCCGCCCTGGTGGCCATGCCGTGAAACCGGCAGACGAAAATGGCCGCCAGCAGGGGCTGTGACTGACGCCCAATACACAAAAACACGCCAGCAAATGTGGGAAGCTAGCAGACTGGAAGGGCGAAAAACGACGCCCAACAGCAGAAAAACCCCTGAAGGGGCAAAACCGCTAGCAGGCAACCCCCACAGCCCCGGGAACCAACAACAGAGGCCCCGGGGCAGAGCCGTCCTCCAAGCCCTCCGCCCTTAAAGAAAA